CCCTAAGCAGAATCTTGCTTTAGATAAAATTCTCTCCCTTTTGCCTAACGATGCACATTTTTATAGATACTTTTATGACAATAAAATTCTTAAGTATATAGCTGCAAAAAATGTCCTATGACACTCTGGTAAATACAAAAATAAACGTTTTTTTTTAGGAAAATGAATCACAGATTATCAGCCCTTCAAATGTTATAAATTTATGATGAAATGTATATGTTTAATTACTGTTAGGGTGTTTTGAGCTTGTGTTAGGCTCTCTTTTATCATTTTGGTAAAAAGGAATAATCAAATCTGATCTCTGTTTCTGAACTTCCTCATGTACTTATTGTAGAAAACAAGTTAAGGAGAAACACCCCTGCATCTGGATGGTCATATATCTGATGGGAATTTGTACTAGATAGACATGCTTCTATCTCCTTTGACCATATAACAGACCTGTGTAAAATGATAGAATAATCTTGATTAGTCACTGCTCAGCTGAAAAAATAACCAGTCAGAACACCAGGATCTGTTTGATTTTGTTGTATGACATAGATGAAATGTCTCCATACAGCTGCTGAAGTATCAGTAGTTGGTGTCCTTGAAGTTAATCCCCCACCACCTGTGTGATGTTATTAAGGCAAAAAAGCAGAGAGAAGCACTTGAAATTTGATTGACATAGCAAAATTGTGCCAATGGTTTTGGCTAAAATCACCACGTAAAACATCAGAGAAATTTCTCTTAAAAGCAAAATTAACAGCTGTCTACAACATTGTGAACGAGTTTTTTGGAGCCTTAAAGTTGAATACTTTAGTGTTTGTTTAATGTTCTACTGGCTTCTAAGCTGTGAAATCTACGTGGCGCTCTAGAAGTTAAATAATCTTGTGGAAGTAATGGCAACAATAGGTAACATTGTTGGTGCTGTAAGATCTCTGCTCTCCACAGAAAAATTCTTTTTTTTCTGCTGAGTTTGTTTATATATTGTGTAGTACTAGTTACTCTGGAACAAGTTGTGAAAAGAATGTAGTATTTAAAAAAAAAACCCAAACACAAAAACCCAAACCAAAATCTTTAAACTAAGAGTAACCCAGTATAATGACAAAGCTTTGGGGACATTTAAACCTGATACATTTAAACGGATATAGGACTCTCTGCTTGAACTGGCAAGAATTGTGGTCCTGACAGGAGAACAAAGATAGGAAAAATAACTTTTTTCTAGTCAGTATGTTGAGGGGGTTTTATAACAACAATTCCAAACAAATTGCTGCTTTTTTTCTTCTGAGAGGGAATTTGTTGCTTGTTCCGCAGTAAGAAAAACTTTTGAAGTCTGTAACTAAACTATTCCCATGATGGGGAGACCCAAAGCTTCCTATGTCCTAATCTAACAAATAATATTCCATAGGCATTAACAACTCCCATTTGCCTTATATGACTTTCTTAAATGCTTATGCCGCAGCATATCTTGCTTTTTAATACTAGTCTTATCGTGTTGTACATTCTCTGCATCCTTTGGGATTTCTAAATGCTGGTCAGCAACTGGACATCATGATAAAAGCGGAGTCATTCATGGGGTTTATGACATTTTGGTCTCTGTGGTCTCTATAGCATAAATAAATTGCATAAATTCTGAGATGATTTTTGAAATCCACTGAAAAATTTAAAGCTAATGGCAACCACAGCCACTTAACCACTGCCACCATCTCCATCGTTTCACTAAAACCTAAAGATCCAATTCTAGGCAACAACTGACAAAAACTTTATGTCACAAAAAATAACTTTGTAAACTTGGCAAATGGCAAATACCAGAACTCATCCAACATCTATCTGTGCCCAAATACAGGTAAAACTGGCTTGAATCTGATCTTCTATGATGAGATCTGTATGAAAAAATTTCCCCACCTGCTCATCTGCTTTCAAGAACTGCCAGTCAAAAAATCTAGCACATTAGCCTCGATGAGCTGTGATAAACTAAGAATAGCCATACTTAGACCAAAATGAGGCTGTCTACCCTAAAATGTTGTCTTTGATAGCAGATGGAAAATGGTTGCTTAGGAAAAAGAATAAGAACATGGAAAATGCACACTACTTTCCTCAGGCAGCCTGCAGTGAATTCCACTCAAAAACTTCCTTAGCTGGATGCAGTTCCTCTGTACTTAGTTATGAATTTCTCTTCCATGAACTTTTCCATGTGGTTTCCTCTTGAGCCCACATAACTTTTCGTATCTGTAGCTTATCGTAGGAAGCCATCCCTAACTGCATTGTGACATAAAGAATCACATTTTCTTCTTTGACTCTGGATCCTACAGATTCATTTGATGTCCCTTGCTTCTTGGATCAGAGGAAACTGTGACCAAGCAATCCCCAGCCACACTTTCCAGGCACTTATTTTATAGACCTCTTACATATCCATCTCAGTCATCTTTTGTCAAGGAAAGAAGAATAGAGTAATTACTCATTCTTTATACAGAAGCTGTCTCATACCTTTCGTTATCCTCATTGCCTTTCTCTACATCCTCTATAGTTCTATGTCCTTTTTGAGGTGGGGGCCTGGAACGCCACGCAGTCTTCAGACTGCAGACAAAGTTGGGATTTATACAATAACACGATGATGTCATCTATTTTGTTCTCTAGTTGCTAACCCCAACATTGCTAACACCTGATTTGCTTTTTCAGACGCTGCTGAATTGATGTTTTCATGGAACTATCTTTTAAAATCTTGTCTGATGGTAGTCAGTTCAAAGCTCATTGTTTTATATGTGAATTAATGTTTTTTTCCCCAATGTGTATCACCTTATACTTCTAAGCCATGTTATGGTATGGCTGCTTAGTTTTCTCAAAAGCCTTTGGTGAAGGAATTTGTTGAAAGCCTTTTGTAAATCCAAGATCAATCAGATCACCCTTATCCACATGTTTTTTGATCCCCTCAAAGGACTGCCTTAGTTTGTGAGGCAGGACTTCCTTTTATGAAAACCTTTTTAACTCTTCCCAGATAAGTCATATTTATCCAGATGTCCACTGTTCCACATTATAGTTTCCACCTATTCGTTTTGTATAGATATCGGGCTGACAGGCTGGTTGTTTTCTGAATCT